TAGATTTTTTTATATTTAATATGAAATGTTTATCCAATATTTGATTATGTTTATCTGCAGTTAGTTATACAATTTAATTATGGAGCTTTAATAAGTTGTAATTGTGTACAATTTACTTCTCTCTTAAATTTTAAGTAATATGCATCAATAAACAATACTTCATGTATAAAAAATGGTTTTTAAGAGTTTGTATCAAATATTTTATAATATGGTATAAATAAAGCTTATGATTTAAAACAAAAATAAAGTTTCTTTAGCATTAATATTTATTGGATATGTTTAATTTGATTTACTTTAATAAATGATTTAAAAAATAAAATGATCGAAAATTTTCAAAAATTTAAATACTTGTTAGTTAACATTTTTGGTTTTAGACTTGAAAAAAACCTTTGTGATTGGTAGGTTTCAAAAATATATTCATATATATTTCACACATAATTTTAAATATTATATTAATTTTATATATATTATCATCCTCCCCGAGCTCAAATTATCATCTGTGAAAAGATGTCTTGGATCACTCTCTATTTGATTTGGAGTTATCGAAATAATTGAGTTTTCTGTAATAGGTCGTGCGACCAAATCGATCATTTTTTTTGCTGTTAAGCGTCTTTCGTTCAAATGCATTTTCTCAAGTGTACAAAGGTCTTTACTTTGTCATGGTCAGAATGGTGTGACGGATCAAAGGCTCGAAGGATAGGCCTCTTGGCTCACTTTTGTGAGTTGCTTTTCGTTGCTTGATAGGGGTTGTTAGTCGATTTTTTTATGTGTTCCCTCGTTGGCTTGTCATTAGCTTGGGTTCTTAGTTTGGCTTTTTACTGTCGTTTCGTGAACTCAGTTTGTTGTAGTCTTGTGTTGATTATGGTTGGTCGTTTTGCTTTGGCATAGGAGATTCTGGTTGTAATGAGTTTTTCCAGGTTTGCTTGTTTCGTGTTTGCCTTTTATCTCCTCCATTTCTAAGACAAATGACCATTTAAAAAGAGAAGTTATGGTAAGAATCATAAGAAAATATTTGAATCCATGATCACTTTTAATCTCATACTCATCCATAAATTATGGTTTACAAGGGAATTGATATGGTGCATTTTGGTGCACCTCATTAGTGTTAGCATTAACTGAGATTGATACGATGATGAAAATCTTTTCTTACGCATCCCACCATAATTTTCTTTATTACCAGAACCCAACAATGATTTCTAATAAATTGTTGGTCTTAAAAAAATGGATAATTATATTAAAAGTAAACATATATATTTTTTAATTTTTCAAAATTTACTTTTAAAGGGTTTTTTTTTATCTTGCATAATATATCATAAAGTTATATATTGTATGAGTTGCATTCCGGTGAGAACAAGAGTCAAAATGAGAAACATAATAAAAGATCTTCATCTTTATATGTGTATTACGATGAGATACATCGGATCAATCCATGTACCAAAAGCTATTCACGGATTTTATTGATATTAAAGTGGATTAAGGGTCCATACCCTCTTTTTTAAGTTTCTCAGTTTACGATATTTCACCTGTGTGGTATAACATACTAATATTTGTGATATAATTATGAAAATAATACTGATCAATTTTGTATGAGAAACGGAAATATTAAAATAGAGTTTCTGAAACCATATTATATATGTAAAAAAGGCATGAATGACGATAGATTTGAATTTTTTTTTTTTTTTGAAGAAGGATGAAGACTATGAGGGAAGGGAAGTGTGAGGTTTGGTTTCTGTAGACAGCAGAAAAAAGGAGTGTATTATTGTTGTTCATTATTGGTTACACGCCATTTTTGTAAGTTTTTTTATCTAGGCACAGATATTGCATCAAGGTGAAACTGCTTGAAATCTTGCACTCCTAGTATAGTGGTTGTGGTGGTGGTCGTTGAACGACAATGGTACTATCCGACCACAACAGCCGCTCCTCTCCTACTCCTAGGTTCTGCAATTCCTTTGCTAACCGGTACGTACTCCGTTTAGTATTTTCCTATTTCATGCATCTTTACACACAAATTCCCTAGGTATTGTCATTGCCGGTCGTTAATTTACTTGATCCGGTGGTTGTTACTAGAAAATCTGTCATTTCCGATCGAGATAGGGATTTGCGATTTAAGAATTTAGGCAAGTTTGATGTATGCATCATAGATAGACAAGAAAGTTATATGATTAGAAGACCAGTTTGTGTCTGTGAATGTGGATTAATTGTCAGCTTGTTCAAACCTTTGCCACTATTAGTAACTTATCATTGTGGTTTTAGTTGATTTGGAAGATATTAAGCTAACATGAAAACGATTACTAAATATTATCTGTGAATGTGGATTGTCTGCTTGTTACAAATGAAACAGCTCCTAAGAGCCCTAGATTTTCTCTAGCCAAAGGGAAGGAACGCTAGATAACAACACAAGAAAGTTTGAGTATTGTTGAATTTCATACTTGGTTGATCACTTCTTGACTGGGTCAGAAATGAAAAACTCTCCCTTCTTGTAAGAGTCTCAACCTCAAGTGAACATTTTATTTCCAAAGGATACTTGGTTCCTGTAAAAGATATTATAGTCCACACAATGCGTCAAGCAAATTCTATGATATTACAAGATACCTGAATGTTGTTACAGAACACTTGGATAGCATTGAGACCTTAATTGATATCTTCGGTGAATGTTTATTATTTTTTCTTTTTCTCTTATTATGAATATTCTTGTTACGTATTCTTATTGTTTCAGGAAGTTATCCTAAACAGGCCTGTCCAAACTTACAGTTTTCAAATTTTGTTAAACACTATCCTTCCAAAATAGATTCACTCCTCTTCACATTGTGATCGTAGTTTTTCAAGTTCATGTGAAGTTCTTATATATCCGTCATACACTATATTAACTGTTGAAATCAGATATGGAGCTTCATTGTCCTTGAGCACTGTGACGGTATGTTATGATACCTTCTTTTATATCAAGGTGCACATGAATACAGATAATCCGCCAATCATGTGGTTGTTCTTGATGATCTCCAAGGATTCCTTGAGGCGATCATTATTTTTCTGCATCCTTTGAATGTATTGTCAAACACTTCCTTTTTGTAAAAACACTGGCTGTCTGGGTTCTGTTTATCTGAGGCTTGCTTTGATTGCCTGTTCAATTAATTTGTTCCATGTCTTGGCTCGTTTTTGCTACTTTATTGCCTTCTGTTTTGTTGCTTTGTTTTTTAACTTTTGTGAAGCTTCCAAGTTAAACGTTACTACCTATTTGCATTTGCATATTGTCATCATTACAAAAAGCTGACTATGTAGAATTGTCATTCTTCAGTGATATTTTAGACACTGAACTAATAGTCTAACGTGTTTCCATAACTATGTGCCTTGTTAATGTTGCAATTTCATTGAAGGAGGGAGCAATTTACCTTTGGTTTCCATTTTGCCATTAGCCATTAGCCATGGTCATCCCACATCTGAGTGTCATTGTTTACCTTATTTCTGCACCTTCTTGGTGTATGCTGCATTATTAAAGTGTTATACATGTACCCAGTATCTTTTCAGATGTAGCAGGGGATATAACTATCATCATTGATGGCGTTTCTTTTCTACTGCACAAGTTTCCTTTAGTTTCACAGAGTGGAAAAATAAGGAAAATGGTGGCAGAAGCCAAGGATCCGAATCTTTCAAAGTTGGAGCTCATCAACTTTCCTGGTGGACATGAGGCATTCGAACTTGCTGCAAAGTTCTGTTACGGTATGAATTTTGAAATCATGGCTGAAAACGTAGCCCATCTCCATTGTGCTGCAAAGTACCTGGAAATGACAGAAGATTATCGAGAAGAAAATCTTATTACACGTACAGAAGCGTATCTAAATGAGGTGGTGACTCAGAGTCTTGAGAAATCGGTGCAAGTTCTATGTTCGTGTGAGACAATACTTCCTCTTGCAGACCACGTGGGGATCATAGACAAATGTGTTGATGCTATCGCCAAGAATGTATGTAAGGAGCAGTTGGTGGCAGGTTTATCACGCTTAGAATGCGACAGTGGGCCCATAGATGCAAAGAGTAGGTGCCTAGAGTGGTGGATTGAAGATCTCTCTGTTCTAACAATTGATCTTTATCAGAGGATTATTTCAGTGATGGTAAGTAAAGGTATTCGACAAGATAGCGTAATTGCATCTATAATGCATTATGCCCAAACATCTCTAAAGGGTATTGGAAAATCTCAAATCTGGAATCCAGCAAGAACTACTCCTGTTACAGTGGAAACCGGCCAAAGGGTAATTGTGGAAACGCTTGTAAATTTACTGCCAAACGAGAAGAGTTCATTAATCCCAATTGTTTTCCTTTTTGGCATGCTGAGAATGGCAATCATGGTGGATTCGAGTCTTGCTTGTAGGCTTGCTCTCGAAAGAAGGATTGCTGGTAGATTAGAAATGGTTTTGCTCGATGATCTGCTCATACCATCTGTTCAGACAGGTGATTCTTTGTTTGACGTTGACACCATCCATAGAATCTTGGTGCATTTCCTGCAAATAATTGAGCAGGCAGACGATGAAGATTGTGGGTATGAATCAGATGGCGGCATTGGTTCTCCTAGCCACGGTTCGTTGCTGAAAGTTGGACGGCTTATTGATGCATATCTAGCCGAAATTGCTCCTGATCCTTACTTGAGTTTTCAAAAGTTTATTGGTATGATCGAAGTACTGCCTGATTATGCTCGTGTTATTGATGATGGACTTTACAGAGCTGTCGATATCTATCTGAAGGTAACTTCGAGCATGTAGTCTTCTCTTTCTGTAAACAAAACGGTTAACCAGTCTAGTTCGATTATGCTTGGAACCACAAACTGAACTGACCCTACTTGGTTCCAACTTCTTTTATTTTATCGTAGTTGAACTTCAAGAGCTTTTGGATCAAAACCAAAGCATTCGTTGGCTCAGTTCAGTTTCATGGTTCGAATCATTTATATTATAAGCGCCAATTGCATGAAAATACAACTCATTTGTTTTGTGTCCTATTAAATGCAACATGCTTTTGAAACCTTTGTTTTGGTGGTACCTAAGATGTGATCTGTCAAATGTTTGACCATTGTACATTATACAAAATAAAAATGGGACCAAAGTCCGTTACATTTTCATGTAATCTCTGATATAAACCAGATATATAAATGTTTAATATGTCACATTGTGAGCTACCAAAATGAAGGTTTCAGAAGTAGCTTATATAAAATAAGAACCGGAACAAAGTACGCTACATTTTTCATGCCGTTGGATCTCTAAAATATAGAATAGGTTTGGAGTTGGAGGTATCATTTTATAAAGATTTTAGTTTTTAATTTTCTATTTTGAAGAAATTATAGAGAAATGCTCATACAACGCATGTTGCTTTCTATTTTATGTAAATTGGAATCCGAAATTCGTTGGTTCTATACTTGCTGGATGCAAATTTTACGTCCAGTTCAAGGTTTCACTCGTTTCGTATCGTTTGGTTTCGTTCGGCAGTTTGATCGTTTAGACTTACACAACCAATTATTATTGTTATGATGGATTAGGCCCATCCGATTCTGACCGAACACGAGCGTAAAAAGATATGCAAGTTTATAGACTGTGAAAAGCTTTCCCAAGAAGCCTGTAACCATGCCGCACAGAACGATCGTCTTCCAGCCCACATGGGTGTTCGGGTGCTTTACTTTGAACAACTCCGTTTGAAGAGTGCCATCACCGGAACTTCCGCTCTTTCCGGCTACATGTCGCAAAAGATGGGCAGCAGCGGTGCACCGAGTGCAGCCATGTCTCCACGTGACACGTATGCGGCTCTACGACGAGAGAACCGTGACCTGAAATTAGAGATCTCGAGAATGCGAGTAAGGCTTAGTGATCTGGAGAAGGAACAAGTTTGCATGAAGCAAGGGATGATGGATAAGTTGGGGAATGGGAAGACGTTTTTGACGTCGATATCGAGAGGGATCGGGAAATTCGGAATATTTGGGGGTCCAACGAATGGGAAACAACAAAAGAACGGGACTGGGAGGAAGTCAAGGTCCTCCACCCGGAGGAGGGGATACTCTCTTTCTTAAGTTTCATGTTTTTACTCTCATTTTATGTAATACAATAACAATATATATCAATCAGATTTGTTTTAATTTAGCATCCACGCTCAAGATTTTTATAATAATATTTTATTTTACGTTAATAAAATAAAAGAGGGTGTAACAAGTTAAATCCAGATTTGAAAATGTCTAAAAAGTTATTTAGACATTGATTATTTTTTTATTTTCAGTTTTTAATCACCACTAAGGTTTGATTTGGTATATGGATGTGAATTTATAGAGCACCCCATAAAAACTTCAACAAAACTGTGAGGTTCTTAAAAGAAATTAATCTTCCAGCTTTTTTATTTATTAGAAGAGTACTCGTGTAATGCAGCAAAACACATCTCGCTTTTAATGTTCTATTTTATTAATTGTCTCTGTCGATGTTATAATACGATTTTATGTGTTTTTAAGAAAACAATAATGATTTTATTTTTGAATAAAATATAAATTTGAAGATATCATAAAAATTTGAAAAAAAATATATATCAATGTTAATATCAAATCAACTATGTAAAAGTTCTCATTTTTATGTAATTTTTTTAATTATAATTTAATTTAAGTTTAATAACGAAATAATTTATTTTTGGTTTAATAATATAATATTTTATAAAAATAATAATTAAGTATTCTGTTAGAATTCAATGATTATCCTAATTATATTTTAGATTTTTTATATTTAAAAAAATGTTTATCCTGTATTTGATTATGTTTATCTACAGTTAGTTATACGAATTTAAAAATGGAGCTTTAATAAGTTGTACTTACGCAAAATCACTTGTAATTTTGAATTTTAAGTAATATGCATTAATAAATAGTATTTTACACATAAAAAGTGGTTTTTAAGAGTTTTTGTCAAAATTTTATAATATAGTATAGATTATGTGTTTTTAAGAAAGTAGTAATGATTTTATTTTTGAATAAAATATAAATTTGAAGATATCATAAAAATTTGAAAAGGGTTATATCAATGTTAATATCAAATCAACCATTTAAAAGTTCTCATTTTTTATGTAATTTCTTTCATCTATTGTTTTATTGTAATTTATTTTAAGTTTAATAATGAAATGATTTATTTTTTATTTAATATATTATTAAGTATTCTGTTAGAATTCAATAATTATCTTAATTATATTTTAGATTTTTTATATTTAAAATGATATGTTTATCCTGTATTTGATTATGTTTATCTGCAATTAGTTACACGAATTCAGATATGGAGCTTTAATAAGTTGTACTTACGTACAATCTACTTGTAATATTGAGTTTTAAGTAATATGCATTAATAAAGAGTACTTTACGTATAAAAAAATGATTTTTTAAAGTTTTTGTCAAATGTTTTATAATATAGTATAGATAAACAATAATTATACAGTTTAATTTATTTGTAGATAATTTTATATAAATTGATTATATGTGTAATATATAATAATATATTAAAGAAAATTCCGATTATATTTTATCAAATGTAACATTTTTTTCATATTATATTTAATTTATTAATGTATCTATAAAATAATTAAAACATAAAACTAATTTTATTCTACAATAAAAATATAATCTACTAGCATAAAAATATCAATGTAAAATCAGCTTACATTTTCTTAAGGTATTTACTTTTGACTTAATCAACTTAATGATTGTTTCGGTTTATTTGCACAACCATATATTGATGTTTACTTGTAGCCTGTTGATATAGAAAGGGAAGCATAGTATGGAGGGGGGTTGTTATCTCCATTGAGCCAAAATGTTGACAATTATACCTTTTTGCTAAAAAGCACACGATCCCTAAATAAAAGTTCCCTCCTTTTCGCTTCCCTTCACAAACCCTAGCTGCAGAGAAAAAATCTCGTCTCCATCACTGCTCCTTCCCCGTCATAGCTCTTCGTCACCGACAACCTGTGCTCCTCTCCTTCATCGTTGCTCCTCTCCTTCGTCGTTGCACCTCCCCACACTTGTTCAAAACCCTAGCCATTGTGTATTTTAAGACCGGCGGCCATCTTTCCAGTGACCATCTTTCCGATGACCAACGATTTCATTTTTGATTTCGTTCTTCGATTTTGTTTCTGTTTCATTTTTCGGTTTCGTTTCTCACTATAACTTTATTTCTCAAAAGACGCTTTGCCACCTCCTGTAAATACAAAATAAAATCGCAAATATGTTCATGTCGATTGGTCAAGTTGTTCATAAGGGTTATGTGTTGGAATGGTAATAATAAAAAAGGTTGGGAGTGGGTATGATATGGGTAGAGTAAGAGTTATTATGTTACCCTGTTCATTTAAAATAACAAGTACAGAAATGAGTAATCATCTGTTTTATAAAAAAATTATTCATATTAATATCCTATCCACTAAAATAGCAGATAACAAAACAAGTGATGAATAATTGATAAAACGAATCATTTTCATGAAACTTATAAGTAAAAAACTTAAGTTAATATTATAATTAACATTGTAATGCTATTTTAAAAATGATTGTAATATATTTTTATTTTCTAAAAACAACAATATGATTATGAACCATTTTATTTATGAACATTTATTTTCATTATCAAACCTCTCTTTTTTCTCTTTTAATCATTATACACCATTTTACTCTATAAATGTAAAAACAAAATTAAATTAGAAATTAATATACAACATATATGATAACATTATATATATATATATATATATATGTGTGTGTGTGTGTGGAGAGAGAGGTTTGAAAGTCCCAATTGTTTAATCAATCTTCATGATCACATCAAGAACACACAAATGACAAATTTAAGAATTATGAATTTTGAGAGAAAAAGTCAAATAGTCAAAGTATGTATATATTCTTCAAAGCTCACAATTACAATACTAAAGACAATTAAGCTCTCTACTTACTCTTCTAACACACTAAACCTATTTATAGGTCTAAATAATACAAGATTACAAAGAGAATCTTTCAAGATTGAATAAAACAATTTAGCTCTAAAATTCAAACCCAACATTCTCCTCTTTTGGATTCAAGCTTGAAAGAATTTGAATATTTTGAATCTTTCTTTTGAATCTTTGAAGCTTGAAACACTTTAAGTCTTCAAGTCATTCTTCAAACATTCCCCCCCCTTGGATGTAGAACTAAACATTCTTCTCCTTTCACATTGATTCTCCTCGTTGATGAAAAACTGAATCAGCAACAGTTTTCAGATTTATTCTTCAAGAAATGATCTTTAACGAACTTCTTCAAATAGCTTTCACTTTGATCAGCATCAGAAAGTTTTAACTTCTCTCTTAAACATTCTCATCCTTCTCCCTTTTAAAGATGAAACATTCTCCCTCGAAAACAAAATTTATCACATGAAAAACTCTTCAGTTCAAACCCAATCTTTTTCTCCAACAAAACATATATAAAATATATATCACTTGAAATCTTTTCCAGTAAACTTCTGTTAAGATAAAATCTTCACATTCACTCCCCCTCGAACATTGTAGCGCATAATAATCTTCAGCAATAATTAGTAGTCATCACATTCACTTCTTGAATCTTTTACAAATTCCTGATCTTCAGAATTTTCTTTCATTATATTACTCCCCCTTATGATTAAATGAGGAGCATTTACATCATACACAAAAAATGAATGAATATCGAACGTATGCCATCAATTCATAAAATGGTAAACAAATCTTTTCAAATTCGCTTATATAATCTTTTCAGACTATGAAGATAAGGGAAATAACCAAATTCAACATATGAACTTGTTTTCAATCTTATAAAAGATTGGCCTGTGAATATAACAAATATATTCAGTACAACGAATTTACTTCATATATGAGACTTTTGAAGGTTCATCTCACTAGAACTTCCATTCAATCATTGATAGCTTTGAAAAAGCATATTTATGAATGTTATAACAAAAACAACAAATATTTTATAAATTTTGTGTAGTGAGAAAAGATAAAGCTCGATTTAGGCTCAAAAAGATAAACAGTGTGGACTACACAAATTTATCAGACTCAAATTGTGATCAACAAGACTTGAAGGGGGGACATATATCCTTCTTTTTCAATATCAATTTTCTCCAAATGAGAAATTGATAGATTATGAGCTGCGTGCCCCAAGTGTGATTGAAACACTTATCTTTTGAGAGATAAATGAGTAGCTGGTGGGGTTGTGACAAGAGTTGGCTTGGGCTTTGCATATTTCAATATTAGTCTCCAAAGAATTGAGAACTAATAGACTTTGTGGTTTGCTCAGATTATAGAGGATAGAACAAGATTCTTTTGATCTTTTAATCCTGACACAACTCTCATCAATTCTTTCAGCTCACAACAACTACCCTCTCATTTCCATTTTAAGCTTTGCACACAAACCCATTTTGCATTTAAGCTCACTCAGATATGGATGTCCTCTTGGGTTGGGCTGTCGGTTCTGACAATCCATAGAGGTATTTCAGTGAAGCTCTCAGTCCCTCCTAAAAATAACACTATAAGCTCATTTGATCACAAAAGTATGATAAAAAATATTATTACAATCATGTACAAATGATCAGATAAAATTTGATTAAGAAAAATGTAGCAATTAAGCACAATCAACCAAGAGTGATGTACAAAATAGATTATTCAAAAAATTGGGAGAAATGAATGAAGATCTGTAAGAACAAGTTTACATATTCACACAAACAAAGAATTAAAAATTATGTATCAAAGAAATATGTTTCAGAGAAGCTCAAAAAACAACTTTGAATACAAACGAGTGTATTATCACTGAAAATGATTTTCGTTTAAGAGACGTAATAATAACAATTTGAATAATAGCTGAAATAGGTATTGGAAATATGTATGAAGAGAAATTACACAAGTAAAACCTCAAAGAAATACGTGATTAGAAACGATACTCGTTTTAAAATCAGCTCAAAATTCAACAAACATTTACAATAAACTCTTTTAATACTCCCCCTAGAAAATATATTCCATAATTTTCTTTATTAGCTCAAAAACATGATTACTCCCTTTAAAAATCATATCTGAATTTGAAAACATTACAACTCAGATTTGAAGAGCAGGT